TAAAATAACTCAGTATCATGGATTATTTGCATTACGTTTCTGATAGATGTATTTTACAATGCAGATCACACTGAATCGACGATTGATCAATGCAATTCGCATTTAAAACAACCGCTTCAGAAAAGTAATAAACGCGGAAGAATAAAAAATGAAAAACCCCATACAGCACAGATTGTTGCAGAAAGCTTCCAGAAAGGTTTCAAACCTTTCTGGAAGCTTTCTGCAACAATCTGTGCTGTATGGGACACATGTGTAGTACGAACATAATATATTTGTCGTAAGTTATAACTTGTTTTCTTATTCGTCGGTAACATCACTTTTGGACTCGTACAAAACGCGCGTTCGCAGATTACATTTAAGAATAAGGTACAATGTAAAATTTGTGTATCCGGATTTATTGCTACGTTCGCTGTATGTTTTTTGTTCTGTGAATGTCGAGGCAATTGCTTTCAGGTCTTGTTAACAAAGAAAAAGATGAGTGAATACAAGACCTAAAACTAGCAATGCACGAATGATAAAATATATTCGTAGCACACAGCACTCATATATATCTTCTCTCAAAACGTCAACCATACGTAATTATCAAAAACACAGTAGAGAATTCATTATACCAAGATTTAGATTTTTTACGTTTTTTACGTTCCTCTTTGCCATTTTCTATAACAAAAAGAGAATTATATATCGACCTATCGGGAGACGGTATTTTCACTAAGAAGGAAAGAAAAAGATTACTCACTTTCTTCGTTTACTTCATCAACGATAGTATTTTTTCCAAATTCGCCATAGCCAAAGCAACCTGCTAAGGGTACCTTGGGGAATAATCTTTTGAATATCGTTGATTCCACATTAGGTTCATTGTACATTGTAGTTCCGCGAGCTTTGCACGCAAACATAAATCCTATGGAATGTTTCTTTAACTTCACTTCATCCCTAAATAACTTTAATTTTGCTTCAACCTGCTCCTTTGTGTTGCATTTCATGTCTAAAATCGTGGACCACGTCTGTATAGGACCAGTAATCAGGACAGCAACACAATATGCATCTATTTTATGCAACAATTTCTTTTTCGTTTTACATATATGTCGCATGTAAATATCTTGTACCACACCACCCCATACAGAAACAATTTTATCTTCTTTCCTGGACATATGTGAAGAAAAATAAACATGTGTTATCAAATATTAGCAATTATTGTACAACGGTTGGACATACTTGATTACTGAACAGTAAATTTGAATATGTATTATTGCTTGGATTAAATATAAATTTTACCTTTTTTGCACGGCTGAGGCCCAATGTTTTGCTATTTTGTGACCATTGTAATTACAGAATAACATAAAACATGTAGATGTCTCGTGATTTGAAATAGATGTTTCATGTTCATCAATTGTACTTATTATCTCTTGATATAAATTAGCTTTTTTTTGTATACCACAACTCCCCACTTCAAACGATTTTATTCTCACGTTCGGGATTTGTGGTAAAAATGCACACACCATACTTGGAAATAGATTATTCATACGCTCCATTTCGTCATTATCCATAATAATACTTTCACTATATAACATTATAACCTCGCAATGATCAGGTAGCCAATCCTCTCTATAAAAAACTTAAAAAGAAATAAAAAAGATTGATTTCAACGATTCCATATTATTCTGACTTAAATGGGAATATAAATAAAAGAATTAGTATCAAAATAGTATTAATACATTCATATTTATTTTATACTTTTGTACATTACCTACTTTTTTACGTCAATAAATTAATTTACTTTTATAAAACTCCAAAATTTGTATCTGTACTTACTAAAGAAAATACAGTAAAAAAAATAAAATATATACCTCCTGTATCACGTGACGCTTCATCAGGAATAAAAAAGAATCCTGTCGATGGTTTAATTCTTATATTATAAAGTCTATTAAAATAACTGTGCAGTGTGTTGTCATACTGTATGAAACAACAAGGACCTCTTGTACATTTCTCATTATTTGCAGCTTCTGACCAGGATCTGAAAAGAATAATCGATCCTCAAATTTATGCTTCGTTCAGCTTACAATGTCATGTACTTTTCGTAATACAGCAGATGGAATGATGTTAAATGTTACCATTAATAGTTCTATTATTAAACTTTTAAAGACAACAACATAAAACGCCACAAAGAGATCATTTGTAAGTCAAATCTTGTTCATGTCCATTCACATACACATGATATAGAAACGATACTATTCTGCTCGTATTAAATAAATGTTTAAGATTAAATCGAGCGCGGATCATTAATATTAGGCACGTTGTACCTGCAAACCATCGCGGCACTTCCTAAGTCCTTGGCCTTTAAATATTGAAAGATAATTCTCAGAATGTCGTAGGTTAGATAGATATTCGAATCCAATGTATTTCTATCATAGCTTTGTGTTGCGCCATCGTCTTTGGACACACCAGGTTTTTCCTTCCGAGTTTTCTTTCGCGCCGTGCCTTCCATCGCTTCTTTACAATCGGTGAACCTCTACTTGTAAAATATCACAGTACGTATCATAACCATAACACGATACATCACCGAACGAAAGTGGCGAAAGTGCAACGCCAAAGCGGCCAACGCACATTGGGCGCGTTCAGCGGAACAAACCGCTCAGTAGCAATCGAACGTGATTGGCTCTTACTTTTAGAACCAACCAATCAACGCAGATTGTTGATAAGACGAGACTCAACAGTTGTGTCTGCTGAACGCGCCCATTTGTAAACACCAAAGTCGGTAAATGACGCGTCTACCGACGCGTCATTTACCGACCTTGGTAAACACAGCGCATAACCCCGATTCTCTAACGAGAAACGTATGCGCAAACTCTGCTCTAACAGAAAGGCTGCAACGTGATTGGCTATCACAAAGTTTTTAGCCAATAAGCTTGCAGTTTTTCTGTTAGAGCAGAGTTTACGTATACGTTTGTCGATACAGAATCGGCTGATTCGTAAATATGTGTGTGTGTGTGTGTGTCCCAGTGAACACAATGCAACATGTAACGACAGGTTAGTTGTAATTTCCTACTCAACAATATAAATGCAATGTAACACGTGTGTTATATTGCATTTATATTGTTGAGTAGGAAATTACAACTAACCTGTACGTTACATGTTGCATTGTGTTCACTGGGGTGTGTGTGTGTGTGTGTGTGTGTGTGTGTGTGTATCTGTAATCTGTATTTTGTATATAATTGACCGATTGTAGTTCTACTCCTTCTCTTTAATATTTCTTCAGATAGCTCATGCTTTATATTTAAATACTCGATTAACCAACAATTATTGTGACTGTTTATGATTATTGAAAAAAATCGAGACTATCTCAAAGCAATTGAAGTGACATGTCATAGTTTGACATATTAATGTTCGACATATATCAAACACATACTCAAATTTTATCATCTAGATTTTATCTCTTTTCTTCTAGGAAATGAATATAAATAGCGTCATACATGCATATACATGTAATGTGATACACATGTAGGTATATGATAACACTGTTTTGTCATCCCTATACATCTAGGCAGTGTTTATTTTGATCAATTCTTTCGTTTTTTATCAAGAGATTACATACCGTTGGTAAGGTCAGAAAAATCGACGTTTTAATTTCTTTTTTATTTCCGATGGTGGATATTTAAAGAGTATTCTCTCAAATTTTCATTGAAAAATTAACAAAAATAACGAAGTTATAGCCAGGCACTAGAATGCGGTCGAATTGTCGAGTAGAAACTAGAAACTGATGTTGGAAACTGGCGCGCAGGTATACGCTGCTAAGGAAAGGGTCGGCATTGTTTTGTTTTTGAAAGGGCCGGATTTTGCCTCTTCCTGAGGGTTTACTACAGGGTATTTCAGGAGGTATAAAACAAATTTTAGGGGATGGGGTTCACCTAGTTTTAAGCCTGTCAAAGGTAACTCCTTAAAATTGAAGAAGCATTACACACATCTTTTATAAGTATATAAAAGTTTGATAGCAAAAAAAATTCGGATTTTACAGGATAATCTTTGACATATATTTTACGTTTACGCGAGCATTACTTCTGTAGTAACTTACGATAATTCACTCGTTTACGCGGAGTAAATTATCGTAAGTTACTACAAAATTCCGTTTAAGCGAAAAAAAAATCCGTTTACGCGAAGGAATTATCGTAAGTTACTACAGAAGTAACGCTCGCGTAAACGTAATAATAGACACCTCGCTTGCTCCAAAATAATTCCAACCAATTAAGTGTACTCGAACAAAAAGTTAAACTATGTTTGGCATCGTTATAATACCCGGCTGAATGTACGACATATATTGACATTGACACATATGCTAATACTATCTGGGAACCTTTCGCATCCTGTTGTAGGCGATTCAACTCGACAGGTTGGATAATCTTCCTTCCTGCAATTTAATTGGAAATTACCAAATGTTGACATATAACTATGCGTTTCATAGAAATATTCTTCGTCTTCTCGTCGTGAGAGACGAGACGCAACTGAGATGAACTGAGATCACCGAGAGGCCACGGCCACGCTCTTTCGAGTGTCGTG